ACATCTGAGTGTGGAGCTAACAGAGAAGCAGCAGCTAACTGAATCTTTTCTAAAACCAGCCTCAAATCTGTATTGCTCTGAGTACTGCCTCGATGTGGACGTGTAGAAAGCATAATAGATTTTGTACAGTGATAATGAATTTTCTCTAGTGCGAGTGCAGTAATAGCAAGTAAGAGCAGTGCAATGCATACACCTTTTTTTTTTTTGAATTGGAGCAATTACTTGTAGAATTAGTCATTCTTTCCCTCCCGGTGTAAGCAGCTGTCAAGCACTGAAAAAGTACATTATGAAGTGGAGTATGCTGTAGCTGATATGAAAGGTTATTAGGCGTTTATTTGACTGCAACATCGCTTCACTTGCAACACCCACTGATTTCATTGAGTTTTGAAGATCTCCTGTTTTTTCAACATAGGAAACCATTTACAACCTGTTTTGTTCAAAAGTGTTTCTTTTTGGCAGAGAAACTCCTTTTCTTTTTAGTACAGCCAATTTAAACCTAGCTGACAAGTTTAAGGCTACGTATTGAGACAGAAAAAGTCACTATTGTTGGCAGCAGATTGAGCTGAAAGTTCAGTGGCAAGAGCTATAGCCCTCTAAATCATGTGAAGGCGGCACAAGAATGGTAGGAAACAAAGGCTAACAGAGTTTTCCCTGCTACCTGATATATATACCAAATAGACGAGGCTTATGAAGCTGCTCCATGGGATTCTTCAAGTGAATTGTAATAACATGACCCAGGACAACAGGGCATCCCCCCCCCCTTTTTTTCTGTAGCTACCAAGAAACTTAACAAATACTTTTCAACTTTTAAACAAAATACAACACAAAGCAGCATTATTGCTTTCCATTTGCTGCAGTAGAGTAGTTGAATGAGAAAAGGTGATTTACAGAACAAAGATGTCAGCCCAATGAACAGGTTTGAAGAATGGTGCTTTGCAACTCTTCCCATAAGTGATTGGAAGTATATATATTTGTCAGCATCCCACATTAGGACACACACGCATGTTTTATAGTGGTGAATAATACAGCTTAAATCAAATATTGCACCAGTGGATGTCTGCTAGTGTGATGGAACTGCCCCATAAATCTGCTCCAGAGGGTTTCCCAGCTCCATGGAATAGATTTCTCTGTGTGCCGAGAAGCAGGGAGGGGGGAATAAAGAAGAGAAGAAAGTGGTTCTTTCCTACTTTTACTAATGGAAACAGCCCCATCAGTAGATAGCATTGAATCTTGCTCCTTGGGATTAGAGTCATAGAGTTAGAAGAGACCTCGTGGGCTATTCAATCCAACCTCCTGCCAAGAAGCAGGAAAATCGCATTCAAAGCACCCCCAATGGCCATCCAGCCTCTGCTTAAAAGTCTCCAAAGAAGGAGCCTCCCCCACACTCCAGGGCAGAGAGTTCCACTGCTGAACGGCTCTCAGAGTCAGGAAGTTCTTCCTCATGTTCAGGTGGAATCTCCTTTCCTGTAGTTTGAAGCCATTGTTCTGCATCCTAGTCTCCAGGGCAACAGAAAAGAAACTTTCTCCCTCCTCCCTATGACTTCCCCTGACATATTTATACACAGCCATCAATTGAATAAACTACTTACTACTACTACTACTACTAGAAGCTCTGAACTTTCTGTATAGGACTGGCCTGGGGCAATGTGAGCTGGGTACTAAGGTGAAAGATGATCCCAAATGAGCTTGGAAGTCTCTGTTTTGTTAATCATACTTTCTGTAGTTGAGTAACAAATATTTTGAAAACACTTCTCTCCACCAATTCTATAGGTTGTATGGGTGTTGGCTGCAAAAATATACTTTTCTTTTAGGTCATGTAATGATAATGATCCACAACTGTATAGGACAAAAACAGGCTGAAGTGGGCAAAGGCATTTCAGCTTTTGAGAATTCTTGAAAAACACTGTCCAACATGTTTGGTGTTTACCCTCCTAAATCTCTTGTATAAGCTTATTATTAAATGCAGAACTGTACAAGCCCGGAAGCAGATTTTTGAGCAGTTGTTTATACCAAACTAGAACTATCTTGCATAGAATTTGTAACTGTAGGATTTTTATACTAAAACTTTAAAACTTTCTGGATCCTCACCCCTGACACTGTAACAACAATTTTGAAATGTTGAGGCGATAGAACAGGCATGGGCAAACTTTGGCCCTCCACGTGTTTTGGACTTCAACTCCCACAATTTGTAATAGTCTACCAGCCAGTAGGCTTTTAAAAATTGTGGGAGTTGAAGTCCAAAACACCTGGAGAGCCAAAGTTTGCCCATGTCTGCTATAGGACATGGGCAAACTTTGCAAAATGTTGAAACTTTTTGAAGAAATGGTGGGGAGGAATTGAATAACAATGTTATTAAAAGTTAAATTTCCTTCCCTACGCATTTATATTTATGTGCAAAAAAGTATTTTTGCAAATAATAATAACAATAATAATAATTCCCCACCTTTCTCCCCGTGGGGTTGCAAGGCGGCTATGGGGACTCAAGTTAAAAATATGCATTTTTTTCTGTTCCAAAAGCCAATCTTTTTTTGCATGAATACATTTTTTGCTGAAATGTGTTACATGCCAAAAAATCTTGCAGTTGACTATTTTCACAATGAAATATTTTGATGTGATGAGATAAACTTTCTTGCTGAGGATGAGAAAATGTATGAGCATTCTTTATATCCCCAGTGGGAATTCAAAATATACCATTCTGAGTGTAGGTTACAATGCTGCCAATATGGAACTATTATCACCCACACTGCCTGCATGGTGATAATGAATAGCTTTCTGATTACACTTCATTATACCTTCAGTTAAAGAGATCAAATACTTCTCCAGTGGCAGTAGCATTCTGTGTTAATGTTGATGGTATGTCAGTTTGTTAGAGCATGAACTGTTGCTGATGCTAAGTATATTAAGTGGTTGTGAAGGAGAAAAAAGGAGGAGAAGGAGAAGAGGAAGGGGAGGAACCACCACCACTTTTTTTTCTTTTTTTTTCTTTTCTTTTTTCGTATCAGAAGCAGCTTGAGAAATTGCAAGCCGCTTCTGGTGTGAGAGAATTGGCTGTCTCAAGGACGTTGCCCAGAGGACGCCGGGTTGTTTTGATGTTTTACCATCCTTGTGGGAGGCTTCTCTCATGTCCCCGCATGGAGAGCCAGAGCTGACAGAGGGAGCTCATCTGTGCTCTTCCCAGATTTGAACCTCTGACCTGTCGGCCTTCAATCCTGGTGGCATAAGGGTTTAAACCATTGCACCACTGGGGACTCCTTACCACTAATGCAACAAGGTAAACCCAAATTTGGGGTTTTGTATATACTACGGAAAGCAAGAAAATGTAAATACTAGGCATGATTAAGTCTAGTTGGAATCCTTGTTATTCGGAATAAAGTTGGGAAAAATTCTTTTTGAAGTGATTTCAAAGTTTTTAAAAAAACGGAAGTCCCTTTGCTCTTTCTGAAGCCTTTTCACCATTTTTGTTATGACTCATGAAGTGAGTCAGAAATTATTCAGCTTTTCCCCACTTCTGGTCCCTGGCCTCGGCTCAAGCCAGAGAAGCCAGTTTTAAAGCCAGAGAAGTGAGTTATAAACCAGAGAAGCATGAATTTGCTCCCCTTCTGTTTCAAGCCAGAGAAGCCAGCCAGTTTTAAAGCCAGAGAAGTGAGTTATAAACTAGAGAAGCATGAATTTGCTCCGCTTCTGTCTCAAGCCAGAGAACCGAGCAAGTTTTAAAGCCAGAAAAGCGAGTTATAAACCAGAGAAGAATGAATTTGCTCCCCTTCTGTCTCAAGCCAGAGAAGTCAGTTTTAAACCGGAGAAGGAAGGAATTTCCTCTGTTTGCTTTTCCCTGCTCCTGGAGTAAAACAACTACTTTCAAAGTAAAGACCACACAATGAAACAGGAAATAACACTTTCAAACTATTAACGAAAGGATTTGGAAGTCTTGGAAGTTTCAAAAAGTTTTGAACTTTTTTTCTGTAAAAATCGGAATTGACATTAGAATCAAACCACCGGCGCCCTCTACATCTGAAATGAGTTTTGAACCATTTTTTAAAGATCAAACAAGCCTAGTAAATACATTTCATTTTGCATAATTTACTTTACCCATGTTTGTTACAGTAAGGAGTAAAGAACCACAGTTAACCCTCCCATTTGCAGGAGTTAGGGGCACAGGACTCCTGTAAAAATAAAAAACTGCAAATAAAGGAATCACTGCATTTTTTTTTTACCAGAGACAACAACTCTTTATACCAGTGGTTCTAAACCTGTGGGTCACCAGGTGTTTTGGCCTTCAACTCCCAGAAATCCCAGCCAGTTTTCCAAAACATCTGGGGACCTACTGGTTGAGAACCACTGCTTTAGACAATTCTAGGTTTTCCAGCATGACTCTAGGGTTGAATTTCATTGAAGGCTGACCACAGAATCACATTTAAGAACCTAGAGATTCCTAGAGAGATGTTTTCCTTAGAAAATTATAAGACCTCCAGCATAACAGGTTAAAACCATAGAATCATACTGGAGAACCTAAAAAGGAACATTTTAAACAAATCCATGAATAATCAAATCCACAAAAGTCAATACAACAAACGTGGAGGGTTGGCTGGAATGCAAAAACTTTGTTTCCTGGTATCCCAAAGCACCACAGCATTGCTCTCTGACTTTAGATATTCATCTGAACATGCTGAATCATATTTTGACATTTATGTAGAGTAGAAATAAGTTTTTTAAAAAATAAAGAGAAGATCGAGGATTTATATTTCCCCAGTCAACAGTGTCTAATTTTGTTCCTCTTTGTGTATCAAGAATGGTAGATACATACAACTTAAGACAAACATGGACCAAATGAATAAAATGGCTAACAACTGAAAATATGAATTTGGGATGAGTACATAATTTCAGCCTGTATTTACAACTTTATTGATAAAGATCTAGATATAGATGTTTTATGTACATTTGAACATCCCAGTTAGTCTCACAACACAGATTCAGAATAAGGCTGGGGCAATGTATCTACTTACCTTGGATTTGGATGCTGTTTGGCTGAAGAGTGGGATGTTTTGATGGGTCATACACCTTCAAATGGGTCTCCACAAGTTGCTGGCCATTGGAGCACTGTGCTGTCCCTTTCTGCATCAAGGGAGAGGGAACAGAAATTCTCCTGGGGCTTATATGATGAGGAGAAAAAGGAGCAGATGTGGAAAATCTGAGAAATTAAGAAAACAAAATATGCAATCATAAATGATCAGACTTGGGTCATATGGGATAATATGTAATTCGCAATAATGCGATTTGCAAGGAACAAGGTACTACAAATGAAGTTTTCCACCCTAATCTTTAACCCAAACTCTATAATGACAGATGAAATGTGTTCCAGCTTGCTTTTATCCTTCTGGGGATGTTTAGGCAGGACAGTAGTTCTCCTCCCCCTCCCCCTCCTTCTGTTTCTTCTTCATGACATCCCTTCAAATATTTAAAGGTGGCTTTCATAACACCACTCAGTCATATCTTCTCCCACCTCAGTGATTCTCAACCTGTGGACCGCCAGGTGCTTTGGCCTACAACTCCCAGAAATCCCAGGCAGTTTACCGGAACAGGATGTGGCACTGTAAAGTTCTATCAAGTGAGAGGGAAGTAACTATCCCCCACACCTCTCAAACTTGACCTTTCAAGCTCCAGATGTCCACTCTCAACATGGCTATTGCTTTACTTGAGGGGGGGGGGGTTGGTAGAGCTGGCAACAAGAACAGGACATCTAACATAGCCCCTTCCTCCCACTCTTAAATATCAGATATAGATCTCACTCTAATATATGGCCGATCTTGTTGAGGAACCTGAGCTGTTAGGCTCAAAAATAACCCTCATTGGGGTGATTCCACCATAAATACTGCAGAGCACCAGAAGCAAACTTCATACCCTGCAGAAACTTATGTGTGGTGAAACTGGGATAAGCTTCTTTTCTTAGGATGGCACAGGACTGAAGAGTCAGAACTTTATGTTCAAAAATATTTATTGAAGTAAAAAAATACATTCTATTTTTTATTAATTTTTATTGATTTATCACATTTATTACACACTATTGCATTTTGTACATCAGCCTCTTTAACATGTTGTTTTGTTGTTTTGCTTTGACATTTCCCCCCCTTTTTCTCTTTTTCCCCCCTTTTTTCCACCACAGTGCTCCCCTCCACCCGTCTCAAGCCACCATTCTTACATTTCATCTGTCCAAAATTTCATTTCTTCTTGTGACGGTAATTTTCCTTCCTTATTTTTTAATCCATTTACCACAAATTTTCCCCATACAGCATCAAAATCGCTTTGTTTCCATGTACCTTTTTTAACCTTTAGTATACATGTCAATTTATCATTTATTGCTATTTTCCATGCTTCCTTATACCACTCCTCTATTTGTATATTCATTTCTTTTTTCCAATTCCTTGCTATAAGCAGTCTTGCTATAGTTAGTAAGTTTGTTATCGCTTCTTTATCCTCCTTTTTCATTTGCTTATTGTTATATAATGATAGTAAGGCTATACTAGGTCTTTTTATTTTTTTTCATTATATCTTCTATTTCTCTAAATACTTTCTCCCAAAAATTATTTACATATTTACATTGCCACCACATGTGTATATATGTTCCTGGTTCTTGACACCCTCTCCAACAATTTATTGAGTTATTTTTATCATATATGCTATTCTTACCGGTGTCAAGTACCACTTCCATATTAACTTGTAATAATTTTCTTTAACTCGTATCGATAAATTTTTTAAATGTCTTTGTCCCCATAATTGCTGCCACTCTATTTCACTTATTTTTATCCCCAAATCCTCTTCCCAGATCTCCTTAAGGGTACACTTTTTTATTTTTTCATCCTTCATTTCAATTAGTATCTTATAAATTTTGCTAATTATACCTCTCAAGTTTTCATATTCTTCTACAGCCCTTCCCTTCTGTATTATTTGTTCGAATTGATTGAGTTGGCTTCCATTTCTATTGTTTTTTCCAGTTTATTAACCATTGTTCTAATTGTATACAATGAAACCATGACAATTTTATTTCTTTAAACTCTTCCAACATCATTTCCCTCTTCATTTCCACCTTCATCCAATCCCCTATCCTATCTAAATTTATTTCCCTTACCTTTTTATCCATTACTTTTTTAAAAAAAATTTGGAACTTCTTTTCCATCACTATTGGGGTTATAATTGATCCCTCCTTTATTAACCTCCCCTTATATTTATTCCATACTTTCAGTATGTTACTCAGCATTGGGTTTCTAATTTCCCTCATTTCTTTTCTAGTAAACTGTTTAAAAAATATATTCCAGGTTTCATCTTCCACTTTTCCTGAATCATTACTAAGCCAATCTATTCCCTC